ATCAGCATGGCATGAGGGTGAGGAGAACGGAAGGACAAGGAACACTGCCTGCTTGCAGCTCGGCCTCAGACCCCTGATGTTCTAGATCATGGCCTCCGTTAATACGCTGCAGGGAGAGGAACAGGTCACTGGATTCCCTGGAGACAGGGGAGGCAAACAACCAGGCAGAGCCAGTGGAGAAGCTGGGAAGTACAGCTCGGCAACGTCCTAACCACTGCAGAGAACCAGAACGTAGAGCAAGCACAGCATGCAGACAGAAATCAAACAGCCTGGAGCCTGGGACTTGCACATGGAGATCAACACGGGAAAGCCTCTAATTCTTTCTTTTTTGTCTACTTTTCTTCTCTCCACCTCTGAGAGGGAGAGGGCTAGGGACTTGAATAGGACGTGTGGTCCAGAGGGCCACACACTGCGTCCTCTGGGGAGGGTGCTGATCCCAGGTGAGGCTCAGGAGTGGGAACCCCAGTCTTGGGAACAGCCTAACAGGAAAAGGTCAAAGCCCAGACAGAAATCGGGACAGAGACCCAAGACTGCCAACACGGCAGCAGTCTTGCCACCAGGTAGGACACAGAGTGAAGGAGAAACTCGCAAGCCAGTCTGACTTGTTGCTGGTCACCTGAGCAACCCAAGTAGGACTGCTCTGTTTACCTGGCCGAGCACACACCACGGCACATGACTGGAGCAGGTAAACACAACCGTGGTACACACACAAGGAGGGAACGCTACGTCACTAGGGTGCCCCGAGTGCACTAAACGCATGGTGACAAGGCAAGATGTCGGATCATTCTGCAACTAAGCCCCAGCTGGGTCAATCTTATTTGGATCAAACCCCACCTCTCTCTAGAAGGAAGAAAAACAGGAACGAGTTGCAGGTGGTGGGGCTGACTTTTCAACACTTACCCTCCCGCTTTAAGTCTCCATCTCTATAACCTGGCTGCTTCTCAGAAATTTCTCTAAAGAACTTCGAGAAATTTTCTCTTAGGAATGCTAACAGGTCCTTGGCAATTTATTTTAAAGTAGGAGATGGCAGTAAATAGATACATAGGTAGTACAACTAAACGGTTAAAAAAAAAAAGAAAAATGAAAGATAGATTCCCTAGCAAAATCAAGTCTCAAGATCTCAGATGGAAACAAACAAACAAAGTAATGTATTTGGTGAGATCAGCCACTTACAGAAACAAGCTCCTGAAGACCATCCTTGCAAATTCAAGGGTCCTTCAAAAAATTCATGGAAAACGAAATGAGTTGGTTTTTTTTAAGATTTGTTTATTTTTATTGTTAATGTAGACTTACAGAAAGGAGACAAAGATCATTTCTTCCAAATGGCTGCAACAGCTGGACCTGAGTTGATCCAAATCCAGGAGACTCTCTGGGTCTCTCAGGCAAGTGGCAGGGTCCCAAGGTTTTGCGCCATCCTCTACTGCTTTCCCAGGCCATAAGCAGGGAGCTGGATGGGAAGTGGAGCAGCCAGGATATGAGTCAGCGCCCATATGGGAGCCATCACACTTGCCCCCATGAGTTTATCGTAACACAAAAAAATTCTGAGGAGCCAGCATTGTGGCGTAGCAGGTTAAGCCACTATCTATGATACTGGCATGTCATAGGCTCCAGTTCAAGTCCTGGCTGTTCCACTTCCAATCTGGTTCCGGGCTAATGAACCTGGGGAAGAACAGGTGGTTGTTCTTGTTTCCCCCGGACACACAGATCTCACTTCTATCAGCTCATTTCCCTGACCCCTACAACGGCCGGGAGCGGGCCATCCTGAAGCCCAGAACTCAATCCAGGTCCTCTACACAGACGGCAGGGACTCGAACACTGGAGACATTGACAGCTGCCTGCCTCCTAATGTCTACACTGGCAGGAAGCTAGGAATGGGGCCAAGTACTCAATGTAGTAGGTATTGGGATATGGGATGTGGGCATCTTAACCTCTACCCCAAATAAATTACCCAGCACTCCAGGTTTTCACTTGTGGGCTTGTCACACAGGCACTAGCCACTCAGAATTTCAGAATTCCAGACAGAAAGCAGATGTTCAACATACATCTCAAAAGTCTGAACAAAGAGCCTAGGTACAGCAAATCACTCTTATCGGTTTGCAAATGAAGGGACCAGTTCAAGTGCCGAGTACCAAGATGCCAACCAAGGACCAATCTTTTTTTTTTTTTAAACTTATTTATTTTTATTTTTATTAAAAAGTCAGATTTAGAGTGAAAGACAGACAGAGAAACATCTTCCATCTGCTGCTTCACTCCCCTAAGCGGCTGCAATGGCCAAAGCTGTGCTGATCAAAAGCCTAGAACTTCTTCCAGCTCTTCCACACAGGTGCAGGATGCCAATGCTTTGGGTCGTCCTGGACTGCCTTCCCAGGACACAAGCAGGGAGCTGAAAGGGAAGTGGAGCAGCCAGGATACGAACTGATGCTCATGTGGGATCCCGGTGCCTGCAAGGCAAGAACTTTAGCCACTAGGCTACTGCGTCAGCTGAGGGTCAATCTTGCAAGTAGGCCCTTATACAGACCTCTCTGTTAAAGCATTCTGCATTGTAAGTGATCAGTAAGTGTAGCCAGTAAGATGAAGCACTTCCCAAGGCAAACTGGTGAGGGAACAGCCAATCTGAAAGATATGCTAACTACAAAAACATATTTAATCTAGACAATCATGGCAGATATGACAATGCTGCAGTTCCAGCATGTTCTGACCAGGGAACAAAGCAGAGGCAGAGACAGTGAGTTCAAGGTGCCTTTCTCAGACTTTCTGGGAAAGACACCACCACCACCACGAGAGCCGCAGGCAGGACTTGCTTCTCAAAGACGAGCCACTTCCCTACACTCTCTCCCCTCTTCTTCCTGGACGCAGCTATGAAACTTCTCAAATGCTTGTTGGTCCTCCTACAAAGACACTGTATTAACTGGAAGGAACTTGATGTTTTAATGATTTTATCTTATTTTTAATATTGCTTACCTAGTGGAGAGGGATGCATGCCCATGAGGGCTTCTCATTAGGGCGGAGAGGGTTAGTTATGGAGGAAGGTGTGCTGGACCAGCTTTTCAGTTTTGTTTTTTCTTCTCTGTCAGCAGTGGGGGGGGGGGGGGGGGGGGAAAGGGTGGCTCCTTGTTATCAAACTACATCAGTACCTGGGATTAGGGGACAGTCTTGGGATGTCTTCAGAGACCCCCATGTGGGGAAGAGTGAAGAACGTGATTTTACTAAATCATCACTGTGAAACATCAGTCTAGCTCACGGAACAGTAACAGTGGTCATTCAGTGAGGTATCCATGGACCTAACCTCATTTATTCGTGTTACTCTGTTTATCCTCACAACACTGCTGTCAAGTACAGTCCTGCCTTTAAAAAAAAAATACAGAAGCAGAACACTGACTAGCCTAGACGCACATTAATAAAAGCATCTTCCAAACTCACAGTTTTTCCACTCTATTGTACTTCGGTTGGCCTCTGTCTCTCGCCAGGCCCTGCTGGCCTGCAGATGAAGTCAAGCTCGGGAGTAGGTCGTTCTGCCACAGTGCCTAAAATAGGTCCCAGCCCCCAAACCACCCTCTGCTGCAGGAAGGCGGGTCTGCACGCCACCACTGCTCTCTGGAACCACTCAGAAAAACGTCCTCCTGCCATGGGTCACCAAGGTGAGAGGAACCCATTCCCCCGGGGCTACCACTGCAGAGTCTCAACACCCCCGGGGTGGGTGAGGAATGCCAACAGCGGCTTACCTGCTCCCCTACTCTGCCAGCCACTTAGCCGGAACACATTCCATGCTCAAGAACTGCTTCATTGTTACAGACAAGAAAGCGAGAGGCTCTGAGAGGTGAAGTGACTTGCCCCAGACTACATTCCGCAAAGTGACAGGTGCCTGACTCGCAAATCCGCGTTCACCCACCTATCCAGGGGCACCTCCACCTCTGAGCTGCGCATTCACCTGCCTCCCCAAATAAGCAATGCCCGGGGCATTCTCGTCAGAACCATATCAGTTCTTTGCTCACTCTGCTTTTCCAGCCACTGTAGGCTCTCCACACGCCATCTTTTTCCAAGCCTGAGGCTTTCTGTCTCTCTCTCTCTCACACACACACACACTCTGCAAAGACGCTGCGCAGCCGCTATGCAGGTCAGAAAGCAGCTGCAGCGGCAGCCTTCCATCTGCCCACCACCGCCCACGAGCAGGTGAGGCGGCCAAAGCAGCTCAAAGGAACCCCTATTTTACGACGAAAGCATCTCCCCCTCCCCACCGAATGAAAAGCCAGCGGGCATCAGGCCCAGAGCCCTCAGGTCCGCTCGGCCCCACCGTCCTCGGCATCCTCCTGCAATGTCACCAGATGCCCGGTCGGCCCGGAGCTCACGTTCCTGCCCATGGCGTCCCCGCCCGCTCCGCCATCCCCTCTAGCCCGTCCGTTTCCTTCGAGCAGTCCTAACGAGGCCTCCACCTCCCCGGCTCCCTCTCTCCTGTCACAGGCGGCCCACGACCCCGCGCCCCGCCTCCCGGCTTCGCCGTCCCGGGCCCCTCCTCCTGTCAGCCCGCGGCCGAGCCCGCCGACGTTACCTTCTCCAAGGATGCCGGTCTCTGCACAGCCAGGGAGCGGGCCAGTGACAGCACAGTGTTGAAATAAAAACCCCGCGACGCGCTGGAGCCGGAGCCGGCACCGGAGCCGGAGCTGGGGCCGCCGCCACCCCCGCCTCCCCGGGCCGCGGCCGCCGCCATCATCGCGCGCGCCGCGGCGCTGCCCGCCACCTCCCCTCAGCCAGCCCGCGAGCGGCCGGGCCCCGACGGCGCAGGCGCAGCCGCATCCGGCTTCCCCGCCACGTGACCTCTGTGTTGCCTACAGCGGCTGGGGCGTGGCCACGGGACGATTCCATCACGGCAAGCGGGGGGAGCGAGGGCTTGCAGTTGAGTGTGATTGCGCGCGCCCAGCGCGCTTTCTCCCCCACACGCCGGCAGCCGCTCCTGTCGATGGTCTGCTCCGTGGGCGGGGCCACCAGCGGAAGTCGGGCGGAAGAAGCTTCGGAAGCGGCCGTGGGGTCGCGGGGCCGGTGCGAGGTGTGGCGTCGCTCCTCCTTCTGGTTCCCACGGTGCCAGCCACGCTCGCACCATGTCGGCGTACCCGAAAAGCTGCAACCCGTTCGACGACGACGATGACGCGGAAGACGAGGGTGCCCGGCCGGTCCCATGGCGGGAGAACCGTGACCTCGCCGACGGGCCCATGGATCGGCAGCAGTACCTGAGGCAGGAGGTGCTTCACAGGGCCGAGGCCATGGCCGCCAGCACCAATAGGTCGCTGTCCCTCATGTACGAGTCCGAAAAGGTCGGGGTCGCCTCCTCTGAGGTAAGTAAGCCTGGGCCGGGGCTGCACCCTGCATGGAGACGTATTTACCTCAGGATCTTGTCAGAATTCTTGTATTGAAGAGTTACGGAAAGAAATGGGGAGTACTTGAGGGAGGCTTTTTTTTTTTTTCCTTTTTACCTCGTGAATCTCAGCTTTGCCTCTTGTATTTTTGTTTGTTTTCCCTCTCCTTTGTTCAAAAATAAGCTACAGATTTGTTTGTTTGTTTTTTAGTCTGGCAGTGAGTAAAAATATTCTCAGCAGCAGGACCTGAGTGTCTCTTGCCCGTTCCTCTCAGAATGACCCAGAAACAAAAAAAAAACAAAGTGAGGACTGGCTGTGTTCTTGCAGGTGTCGGGGAATGACCCACTCGTGTCCCTCCCACGTCGCTGACCACTTCCTGGCCAGCCGGGGTGCCCGTGCTTCCTTCCGCCTGGACAGTTGCCAGGGAAGCCCGAGCCCGAGGGAAGAGCCTCGCTCTTCTCTGGACTTCCCAGATCCTCCATGAATAGACCTCGTGTGGGTTGTGACATCTGTCCCTCCGGCTCATCAGAACCCAGAACTGTGTGTAGGAGACTGCAGAGAGAGCAGCGCCTCATCGTCTCACCCCCACTAAGTCATCTCGCGGTTCTGTGTGGGCTGAGGAAGAAGTTTGTCCACCTGGAACAGCACGGATGGGTCATTCCCAGAATCGTGTCCCACATCTGGTAGCTTTGGAATGCAAATTTTGAAGCTGCTGTATTAACGCCTTCCCCTGGTCAAGTTGCTTCTGAGCTTAGCATCTTGGACAGGTTGGGTGTGTACACTGCCTGACTCCTCGATCATGTTTCCTCTGCTGCCTTCTTTTTTCTTCCCCCTTGGCCACTGTTCAGGTTATCCTCCACTGACCCACTTCCTGTGTGAGGAAGCTGTGCTTGGCACCCTTACGCTGCATAGCTCTTATGCTCTGGTCTAAATAGGCGTCGTAGAGCCTACGTTTGGGAAGATTGCCTAAGATCTTGGAAACTCTTTTGGGTCCCAAACCCAAAGAAGCCATCTAAGGAGTGTTCTTTGTTAAGATGTATTTATTTTTAATGGGAGATAGATTTTTAGAGAGAAGGAAAATCAGAAAGAAAGAAAGATCTTCCATCAGATGACTCACTCCCCAAATGACCGCAACAGCTGGAGCTGAGCTGATCCAAAGCCTGGAGCCAGAAGCCTCTTCTGGGTCTTCCACACAGGTGCAGGATCCCAAGGTTTTATGCTATCCTCTACTGCTTTCCCAGGCCACAGACAAGGGGAATGGAGCAGCCAGGACACAAACCAGCACCCACATGGGATCCCAGTGCTTGTAGGCAGATGATTAGCTAATTAAAGCATCACACTGGGCCCCTGAAAAGGACTGTTTAAAAAGACATCTTTGGAAACTGTCGGAATAAAAAAAGTAAGAAATGCAAATGATACAGAGGTGGGTATCGGTTGGCAGAGGATAAACTGGAATCTGTGAGGGGCGTGAGAATGTCCCCAGGGAGTAGAGAATGCATGAAGGCAAAATATAATAGATAGGTTAGGGGCCAGTGTGGTGATGTAGCAGGCTAATCTGCCTGCTGGTGCCAGCATCCTATATGGGTGCTGGTTCAAGTCCTGGTTGTTCATTTCCCATCCAGCTCCCTGCTGATGATCTGGGAAACCAGCAGAGTCACCCAAGGCCTTGGGATCATACACCCATATGGAAGACCTGGAGGAGGCTCCTGGCTTCCAGTTTGTGTGTGTGTGTGTTTTTTTTAATCCAGTTCTGGCTGTCACAGCCATTTGGGGAGTGAACCAGCACTTGAAAGACCTCTCCTCTTTCTCTTTGTAACTGACTTTCCAAGTAAAATAAATACATCTTTAACATGTATATATAATAGAAGTAAATTGCTTATCCAGACTATGATGCCATATACCTCATAGCCCTCAAGGTCCTTCTGTCTACACAGTGGAGCCAGCCAGAGCTGAGGCAGAGTGAGTGGCACCTCTGTCACAGGAATCTAGGCCTGGGTGGCGCTGTGGGAGATACAGTTGTGACCATGACTGAGCAAATACTAGACTCACAATAGTGTAATGGCATACTGAATTTTGCCAGGATGGAATCTGTTCTCAAGTGTGAGTGATGCTGCGAGTCAGGGTTGTCCAGCTTGCCCACACCCACCCATGCAAGCTGCAAGGCCATCCTTGAATCACTCTGATCCTCTTTCCTTTTCTTCAGTACTGGGATGGGGATGGACAAGGAGAGCACTTCGTGCCACTTGGTGCATGGGTGACTGGCAAACCGGGTCTCCCTTGTTACTTTCCTGTTTCAGACAGGTGACTGCTGGGTACCTAGCACTGTGAAACAGGCCAGGACAGGGTTTGATAAAATGAGCATGGGAAGGTTCTCTTCAGTCCCTGCTTGGCCGAAGTAGGATAAGTCCTTATGCAAAGGACCTCCAGCAAAGGAGAGCTGCCTGCCCATGGTGAAGCCGGCAAGATTGGTTTGTGCCAAAGGTTCTAGCCACAGGTCAAGGCCAGCAAAGGGCGGAGAAGTCGTAGTTAGGGCAGGTAAACTGGAGAGTTTTGTAGGCCATTTATCTCTGGCTCTCTGGTGCATATAATTTCCTTATTGCTTTTTCTAAGTTTCATTTTTGTGAAGATGCTCATCCTTAGAAAGGGTGAGATCTCCCTCCCACAGCCCATCTTAGCCTTTTTCTGCCTCTAAGTCAACTCCTTCAGGCTCCTCAGGGAGACATTCTGATTCTTAAAATGGATTTTGTATGTGTGTGTGTGTGTTATTTTAAAATTTCTGTTTGCTTGAAAAGCAGAGGTACAGACAGAGAGAGAGAGATTGTCTGTCTACCGGTCCACTCCCCAAATGGCCACAACAGCCAAGGCTGGGCTATACCAAAGCCAAAGCCTGGAACTCCATTCATGCCTCTGTTGTGGATGCAGGGGCCCAAGCACCTGGACCATCCTCCACTGCCTTCCTTGGTACATTAAAAGGGAATTGATCCAACATGGAGCAGCCAGGACTCAAACTGGCACCCATATGGAGTACTAACATCACAGACAGTGGCTTAACCTGTTGCACCACAACACAGGCATTGTGGTTTTGTGCTTGGTTTTTTTGGTTTTGTTGTGGTGGTTGTTTTGATTTAAACTTGAATGAAGCATTTTCCACATCCTGGGGTGGAGGTTGTTCCCTAGTAGTGAGTAATGAACTGCTTTCTTTCTCTTGCGGTCATGCCCTGATGACGTCTGGATGCAGCCATTCTCCAAACAGTGGCCATTGGGATTGTGGGAGTCTTTCTGCATCCTAGTTGGATGTGGTTTTTGCAAACCCTTCACTGACCTATCCAGGATACTCAATTCAGTGGGGATCCAGGTACAGTTATCACATTGGAGCCTGACTGACATAGTAACTAATATCAGTGTTGTCCTTGAGGTCTGGTAGGGGTCAAATATAAAGTGCTCAGCCCTACCGGCATATGCATCTCCTTGTCATCTCGTTCAGGGGGCCAGGGTCACTGCTCTTCTCCATGTCTTACTAACCCTTGACCGTCAGCACTTGAAGCCACACTTGGCATTCAGATCAGAGAGGTGAGACCAAGAGCACTCCTCCACACCCAGCAGCAGAGGCTTGTGCAAATGGCCCATGCAGGGTGTTCCCATAACATTGGGCAGGTTTGTCACCCCAGAGTGGTGTCCTCATCCTCTGGGGGAGGCTCATGTTGGACCAGCCGCTCCAGGTGAGGTGCTCCACTACCCCAAGTACCGTCCTCCACCCTGACCCCTAACACACCCTGTGATGATCCTGAGCAAAACCTGATTGCGGAGGGGGAGAAGATGGAGAGCGGAAGTAGCTCTTCAGCACATTTCTAAATGTCAGCCATGGCAGAAAGGTGGTCTATCATCCATATCCATCCCTGCACTTCCTAGCACTGCATCGTGTGTGTGTGTGTGTGTGTGTGTGTGTGTGTGTGTGTGCGTGTGTGTGTGTAACCCTTCCAAAGAGGTTAAGCTGAAGGTGTATGTAGCCCAGGGTCCCATGCTACATCATAGCCTTTGCATAAAAACTCCAGCCTGCCCCAAGAGCTCAAAGAAACAAAGGCTCTCTTTATCAGACATGATTTGACAAGGACAAGGAACCAGGCCAGAGCTTTCTTTGGAACGCACAGGGTGTCAACAACTGAGTCAGTCCTTTCTTATCTCCAGGTCATCCTGCATAATGAGCAGCACCCACCTTTGCCCTCGGTGGCTTTCCTCCATGCAGCCAAACAACCACTTTGCATTTCCGTGTCCACTCCATGCCCTGATGGCTGCAGTGAGACAGAGCTCCAGGTTCAAGTGTGTTTTATGCACACCAGTGTCCCTGACAGCCTATGCACCTGCACGCTTCCAGGGGAAGACAGGCGTGACCCAAGACAGAAATTTTCAAATTGCTAGATCCAACTCATTGACTGACCCTTCCCTCTCCCCCTGGCCCCTCCATTTGTGAGTCAAACCTGAAGATTTTATTTATTTATTTATTTATTTATTTATTTCAAAAGCAGGGTTAGAAGAAAGACAAAGGTCTTTTATCAGCTGGTTCACTCTCCAGATGGCTGCAGCAACCTTGGCTGGACCAGGCCTAAGCCAGGAGCCGGGAGCTTCTTCCAGGTCTCCCACCTGGGTGCAAGGGCTGGATTGGAAGTGGAACAGGTAGGACTTGAATAAATGCCCATGTCACTGGCACTCCAAGTGATGGTTTAACCCACTGCCCCCCATATCTGAACTTACAAGCTTAGTGCTAGAAACTTAGTCCCGAGCCTTTTCCCTCAAGAACCTGAAGGATGCTTGATCAAACTGGGGAGCAAGGCCCAGCAGATGTTGAACGGTGTCTTGGCGGGGAATTGCGTTTGGGATGTGTTGGTCACTGCTGCCGTTGGATGGCCTTGTCATCGTCCATTCTTTTGCTCTTCATCCTGCCCAACGCCATGCCCCTGCACGCCCTGTGCTCACTGCGTCTT